ATAGTAGCAACTCCCATTGCCTAGACTAATGTCATCACCTGAGAACTGATCTCATCTTCCAGTGATGTAATGGGGAGGAGCTGAGGTGACATTTATCCCACCTCCTCAATGAAATGCCTAGCAATTAGAAGCCACACCTATGTTGCCTGAGATTTTTCTGTCAGTTAGTTAATCACTATAAAAGATCCCATTGTCCCCAATTTGAAGTCTTTGGATACTGAGGGTCCATTGACCCCTTTTATTGGCAAATGCCAACCTTGCTAATAAAGGGAAAATGCTTGGAACTTTATTGCCTCATTTTACCTTAATTTCTATCATGACAGTACTCATACACCTTGACTTCTTTGGGCTACTGCCCAGTCCCTCCTGGATACTTTCTCTTCCCTGGCTTCTTAGACATCAAACTGTTCTGATTCTCCTAATGGCTCAGAATCACAGAATTTCAGTTGGAAGGCTCCATCTCTTTCCTTTCTGACCCTTTAAGGAAGGTATTTCTCAGTGCTTTATACTTGGTCCTCTTCTCCCTGCTACGTTGCCTCCCTTTGCACATACTTTCTCTCCAAAGCTTACAATGTCGTCCTTACACAGATGAATCCCAGATTTGTTTCAAGTCCTGACCTTTCTCCTGAGTTCCACACAGATATCTTCAAGTGAAAACTAATTCCACATGCTCCAAAAAAAAACCCCCAAAACCAAAAACCAACCAAAAACTAAAAAACCTTTCCATTAAAACCTATTCTTTCTTCTAATAACTGTTTTGTCACCATCTTTCTGGTTAAAAAAAAATTTTTTTAACCTCTTTCTCACCTCACAGGCCATTTTTTACCAAGTAATTCTCTTCTGTAGCATCACCTGCATCCTTCCCTAGCCCCACTGCTACTAACCTAGCTTAGGCCCTCATGGTTACCTGCCTAAATGTTAACATGTTTTTCTGCCTCTACTCTCTTCCCTCAAGTTATCCTTCCCCCCACTGCCAGATGTCTTCATTATGCACTAATCTAGTTATGTCATTCCTATTCAGAATTGTTCAAAGGCTTCCTTCTTGCCTGTCATCTAAGCTGTCACTCTACCTTTCCTAGCTTAATCTCCTACCATTCCCTCTATATACACTATGCTCCAGTCAAACTGGTTGCTTGCTTGTATCCTGTACTTGACTATCTAGGGACCTTTGTTCTCACAGTACCTTAAGTTTGTCATACTCTCCCCACTCCCAGAGAACTGTTGAATTCCTATGTATGTTGTATTCCTATGTATCCTTCAAAGCTCAATGAATTGTCACTTACTGAAAGCCTCCCCAAGTTCTCTGCCAGCCCCCCAATCTCTGGTGGTAACTATCTTCCTTAGCATCCTTCCCTGGGAACTCACATATCAGGTTGCAACTCTCTAATGATGCATAGGATTGCTTTATACTATGATTGTTGCTGTTATGTATCATACCCCAGACTACGTGCAGGGAGGGGCCCTGTATTATCTGAACTTTGTATATCCCCCTCTGCCTGGGCAGCAACTTAGTACAATGCTCTACACATTTTTGATGCTTAACAAAGCCTGCTGAACTGAAATGTTTAGAAGGCTTAGTAGGGGAACAGTGAAAATTGTTGCCTAAAGATGGGGTTTGAAGAGAGATGTTTGATTTATTTTACCTTTGTCAAAAAAGCCAGGAGCTTGTTGAATGAGAAACTATTTTTGGCCAGGGATTTTCTGGGGAAAACCTAATCCTGGAAACTGATACAGAAAGAACACAGGATTGGGAGTCAGGGGACCCAAGTTATAGCCCTAGCTCTACCATTAGCTTATCTGAGTGACCCTGAATAGTTTACTAAATCTCTCCAGAGTTCAATTTCCTAATTTATTAAGTCGGACTAGACAATCTAAGTTCCCTTGTAGCTTTAACACATTTTGTGATTCTGAGCCCCAGTGATTATGGCTATCACCCAGTTTCTTGTGAGCCATACATGAAAAAAGTTGGAACCCAGGGATAAAATGAAGTCCAGATGAGTTAGGGTTACAACTTAGTTATGTGATGGAATTCAATTACAAAAAGGAGGGCCCTTTCCAACTACCTCATATTTCTTTCCCCCAGTCTTACTCAAAGTGAGAACCTGAAAAGACCTTAGCTTAAAAGGGTCAAGGTCTCCCACTGCATCCTGAGCCACCTCCAGTTGTCCTGATTGATATCTGGCCACTGGACCCAGCTGGCTCTGGAGAAGAAAGTAAGGCTGGTGATCTTGCACAGCCCTCCATCACTCAAAGTCAACTGCAAGTCATGTCATCAATTCCCTGATGTCATGGTTCTCTTCAAGGAAGGAAGGATAAACAACAATTTCCTTCCCCCAAGACTGCAGCCTCTTGTTCAAAAGTGAATGTGTGCCCTTTCAGTATGGTAGTAATTTGTGTTGCTTAGCATTTTCTGTTATATATTCTGGCACATTATTGTTTGAATAAAGAAATAACCTAGTCCCTGCTACTTTCCCTTTTACCCTACCGTGAATTCTCTTCCATTTCAAGTTAGGCTGGGCCAGCCCTGAGAAACTAGTGGTTGGTTTCTCTTTAGGGATGGTTAGTCTTGCCTGTCACCCTGTTAAGGATGTGGGCAGATGGTAAATGGGTAGGAAAGTTTTGGAAAGAGAAAGGGATGGGGTGGGGGGAGATACATTGACATTTTTTGATTGGCAGGACTGGTGGAATCCATGGCTGCAGTAATAAGTGTGTGCATGGGAGGGTCTGGGAGGTGGTGGTGTTCATCTTCTAGTGCCCAGGCTGGGAACAGTACCACCCAAATATAGCCTCTACACATTAAGCCCTCCCAGAGAGCTTCAAAGCATTGGGGTCCATACCACACTCCTTTCAAAAAAGCACAGCAGGCCCAGGAATGTTAAGATTAGCCCAGTAAGGAGAAAAACCAACTCATCAATTCAGTTCATGACTATATGTATTGTGGGTGCATGTTTTGAGGAGGCATAGGGGACATCTGCTCAGCTTCCTAGAATTCTAAATGATAAGGGTATCACAGAAACTGAGTCATTGAGTTCCACTGAACCTGAGCTAAAGAGAACACCTGTGGAAGGAGGGAGCTCAACAAGCCCATTAGGGTTCCCCTGGGTCCTCTCATCCTCAATCAGGCCTTGCACTTACCCACCCATCTGCAGATCTCCAAAGTGGCCTTAATCACTCCTGACTTCTAGTATATCCCCCTTTCTTGCACTTCCTATGAACACAGCTTCTGACCCAACCAGGCAGGAAGTACTTAGGCTATTTATAGGAATATTCCTTGCAAACTGTAGTTTGCAAAGTTAAGGGTTTGGAGGGAGAGACTGGAGCCCAAAGATCTCTGAGGCAGAAGGTTGGAGGAACCTCTCCCATGGAGGTTGATGTTGGGATAAAAGCGTCAGGAAGGGAACCTGGGACCCAGGAAGTCTCATTCATATCTGCCACAGATTTGCTAACATTGCACAGGCTTTTCTTACGGCCATGATCGAGAGGAGAGAGCAGCTGAGGTTCATGAGAAGCCCCACTATAGCTTCCCCTCCTCCCCCAGTCCTGACCTCTTCAAGCCATGTCTGTGGAGATAACATGGAGTAATGCAGGGAAATCAGAACCAAAGATCATCTGCTTATAGAATGTAACATATGTGAAATTGCTTCAAATGTGCCTAGGCCTTATTGACTACACTCTTTCCCCTGTTCTCTGCCTCTTTCCCCTAACACACATTTTTCATTGATCTTTGTACTATGTATTATTAAGTGGGGGTGGTTGTATATTGTATTTTTTTTTTTCTTTTTGGTGAAGCAATAGGGGTTAAGTGACTTGCCCAGGGTCACACAGCTAGTAAGTGTCAAGTGTCTGAGGCCAGGTTTGAACTCAAGTCCCCCAACTCCAAGGCTCTATCCACTGCGCCACCTAGCTGCCCCCATGCATTATTGTATTTTTATAAGTATGATGTTTCTTCTTGACCTCTACTCAGAGGAGTACAGGGTTGGCTGGACACCAAAGGAGTTATGGCAGCCCCTATTATAATCAGAACCCACAACCCTTCATTCCCAATACAGAAGGCTGACAGAGATGAGTCACTAAATCCCCCAAATTCGAAGAACCCAAAGAAAGTAGAGAGGGAAAAAGCTGATTACCTGGGGAAACAGGGTTCTTCTGTGTCACCAAGAAGAAACTGCTGTTTGCCTTCTTCCCCCCTCTCCCCTGGAAGACTTCCAAGAGGGAGGTCTGAGGACAGAAGAGGGCAAATGGCTCAGAGTCTGGGAGAACAGCAAACAAGCTCTTCATTCCTTCTGGAGGAAGAAGGAAAAGCAGAGAACAGATGGATAGGGTGAGGGAAGAGAGAGGAAGCAGGGAGAGAAGAGAGATAGGAAGAGGGATTAAAAACAAGAAAGGGAAAAAACAGCAAAGACTTAAGAAAGCAAGAAGCAAGCAGAAGAGAATAGCAGGAAGGGAAAATGCCCATGTAAAGAGTCACTTGTTTAGGAGACAATATGACTGGGCAAGATAGAACTGGCCCTTCTTTCCATTTCCCAGCATTATGCATCAGTTTCTACATTCTGCACTTCCCCTTCAGACTACTTTGTTTCTTAATTTAAAATGTGAGATGTTTTTCCTTGCCCTAGTTATCCCTTATTAAGGAGGAGTCAGAATCCTCCAAGTCACCTAGTACCTGGGGCTTTTGAGCAGTGAATTCCTTCTCAGGGACAATATTCTTCTTAAGACATTCTGTAAAACCTAGCTTCAGGACAAAGGGACTCCCTGAATGCATTATAAAGAGAGCAAGTGACCAGTAAGGGACAAGGAAGGGTTCTTTGGAGGAGGAGGCTAAAAGGTGTTGTGGATGTTCTTAACTGGTTCCATTACTGTAGCACACCTAGCCCAGATTTTGCAAAGAGCCACCCAAAGGACTGGCCAGATGCTGGGGCTTAAATTTTTACAGTTAGAATACTAAGCTGGAGGGTCCTTGGCATCTCCTCAAGGCTCTGCTACTCCTTCAGAAATAAAAGTAAATTTTAAAAGTTATTTAATTCAACTCTCCCATTTTAGAGATAAAAAAACAAGTTTCCCAAAGTTAGAGTAGGCACAATATTATCCAGCTTAGACTTTTTTTTACTATGACCATGGGGCCCCCTTTTCCTATTTTAATTTACTATTCTGTAAAATGGAGACAATTATTTTCTCTTTATCCAATTCTTCCTGAAAAGTATATAAAAAATATACTGAGATCTTTATGGACGTCAGAAAAGCACAGCTGGCACACGACGTCTGTATGTCCCAGCCTTTTTTGAAGTCTGAGGACTGGATGAAGCCTGCCTATCTCTTAAACTCCCAAAGCCAACACAGACTGAAGCCTCAAGGAAAAAATTAGCAGGGCTGCCTTACGGTTGGAAATTCCAAAGGGTAGACAATTGACTGGGTCACTTCAAAGGGGATTCAAGACGTGGCACTAGGGATCCACGAGAAATTACCAAATTGGAGGTCAACTGACAGGAAGAACTGGAAGGTATGGCAGGGTTGGACAACCCCAGATGGAAAACTGCAACGACCACAGCTGAGAGTTTGACTTCCTTTGAGTGCCATCTATATTCATCCTCTCCTGCCCAGCCATCCCTTCTCCCGACTTAATTTAGAAGGGCCAGGTTTCTAGGGTCCAAGGTTCTCTCCCCTTTCAGTGCCCAGCTTGTGGGACTGGCTGAGAAAGTTAAGCAGGGATCCTTGGGGAGTCTAAAGGAGCCTTTCTGTATTCTGGAGCACTTCCCCCAACTCGTGAGTCGAACTCAAGCAATTCTGAGGCTTCACCAGACCCGTCCCTTTTAGTCTACGTTTTGGGGGAGGCCAAGAATGTTGAATCTGGGGAACCCTCGTTCAGATCTTCGCTCTGCCATTGACAGAAGTGGTAAGTCCTCTAGCAAGTGACTTCCCCTCTGAAAGCCTCAGTATCTCATCTCCAAAATGAAGGGGTCAGAGTAAATGACCTCAAAGGTCCCTTCTAGCTGTTAGCAAACGACCTCCTTAGCCTGCTGAGCAGAACAGCACTTATCTTGGGTTTCCCTCCTCCCCCAAACCCTTTTGGTTTCTACTACAGCTACGAACTGTCTCTCCTCCCCCGCCTGAAATACTGGTCTCTGATATTCTCTGTTCCCACTGGATGCATCCAACCTCCCCTTCGACGTAACTTTTGGTTTCTCTCATTCTCTTGCGCGTGCGCGCGAACTACTTCCCTTCCCTCACCCCTCCCATCAATGAAGCTTCACTCTCCCACAATTCTCACTCCCACACCCTTGGCTCCCCCCCAAGCCCGTGTTCCTTTGGTTTCTCCCGCCGTTTTCCGCACTTTCTCCTGATCCTTGGGTTTCCCTTTCCGCGCTCAGATAAAGTGGATCCAGCCCTGGGGTTCCGGGTCGCCACCGCCGCCGCCGCCGGGGGAGTCGGGCCCCCGCAGCGCGTAGTCGCGGCCGCCGTTGTTGTCCCAGAACTCAAGACCTGTTACGCGGTAGCGCAGAGCGAAAAGCAAGGAGCCTCCAGTTGGCGGAGCGGGCAAGCGGAAGGCGAATCGATCCGCACGCGGCGGGGGCGGAGCCGGGCCTGCGTAGGTGGCGAGAGCTTCGCGCTGGCTGCGCCAACCGTCCGCGCTCCAGCGCACGCTCACGTGCTTCTCGTAGGCCAGGTCCAGCACGCGCGCGCTCCCAGCCACGCCCAGCGGGCCCGCCTCTGCTCGTTCCAGGCATATGCGCTGGGCATGCAGGCGGGCGGCGAAGCCGGGCTCGCGGGCGGGCTCGAGGGCAGCGCGCGCCTCCTGCGGGGGCACGGGGAGAGGGAAGAGAGAGAGACAGAGAGAGGACAGGGTCAGAATGAGGCACTGGACCAATAAGAAGCCTGCACTGGTCTGTCCGCTGGGGGAGTCCGGGGCCTGCCTTGGCCTAGCGCACTGGGGAGGGTATCATGGAGAAAGAGAAATGGGGGCCATTGTGGTGGAGGTGGGGTGGAAATGGGGTGGACTGCTTCCTGACACTTCACCCGCCCGTCCGTTCCCCCTTTGGGTGCCGGCCCCTAAGCTCCTACCTGGAGGCTGCGGGTTCTGGGGGGACAGGGCCCGAAGTGCCTGAGGGCGTCGCGCTGCAGCTGGATCTGCACGTGGCGGGGCACGCGAGGGAGCTCCCCGGGGCAGAAGCGGCGGACAGCCGCCAACTCCAGCCCCAGCGCGTCGGCGAAGCGCACCCTCTTGCGGGTGTCGGGGCTGCGGCTGCGCGAGATCCGAGCGCCCCCTCCAGCGGGGGCAGAACGGGCCCGCCGGCCCCGCCCGGGGGCTAAGGCGCGGGAGCGAGGCCTGAGGTGCGCCCCGCCCCCCTCGCGGGGCTCCGGCTCCTCCTCCTCCGGCTGCAGCTCCTCCTCCAGGCTGGGCCGCTGGCTGCGGTAGTAGGCGCGCTCGGTCAGCGCCGCGATGAAGCTGAGGTTGCGGGGAATGTCGGTGCGGGGGGGCCTCTCCCGAGACATGGCACCCCCTCCCCGGCCGGCGGGGCAGCCGCTTCGCGGCGCCGCCTCGGCCCGCCTCCCCAGCTGTCGCTTTTCCGGGCGCTCGCCTGTGAGGGAGCCCCCCGCGTCCGCTCGGCCGGCCGGGCCCGCCGTCAGCTCCCAGCATCCCTCACCATGGCTCCTCCGCGTCCTCTCGTCGGGGCCAGCGGCTCCTCTGAGCGTGCGCTTACCGCGGGGCGGCCCGCGCCCTCCGCGCCCCGCGGCCACAGCCCGTTTGACAGGTGGCTCCCCATCTGTCTCCGCAGCCCGCTGCGGTAGGGGGCGGGGACTCCGCCCTCCCTGGACCCAGGCTGGCCCCAATCCTTGGCGAGCCCCGCCGCCTCCCGGCCCACCAGGGGTTAACCCGAGTCTTGAAGGGCACCGGCGGGGGAAGGGTTAACACGTCCACCTTGCGATCGAGCGTCCTTGTCTTCACTCTCCCCTGCCTCCCCTTCCACACACACCGTCCTTGTCCTCAGGTGAGAAGGTTGGGCAGCTTGGCAGAGCGTCCCCGTGGGCAGCGAGGTGCGGGAAGTAGAGGGTAGGGGGCAGAGCAGAGGGATCGAGTCTGGCTTCGGCCTGTGAGTCCCGGGAGGTTCGGGGAGGGGAGCTCGGTTTCGACGCAAGCTTCTCGGACCCCACCCCTGGCCCCACGGTGGGTGGCCTGGACCTGTGCTCTTGCTGGGGCATTGATTGTGCCTTCTGCCCTCTCATACTTGGAAGAGGAGGCACCCCTCCCTAAAAACAGAGTTTTCGACCTTGTCACAATTTTTATTTCTTAAAAATAAACCAATGGAATTAAACAGCAACAACAAAATAAATCCTACCCAAATTCATTTGTGGATTTGGAAATATTTGTGAGATTCATTTCAGTTCAACAAACATTAAGCATCTGCTATGTGCAAAGCATTGTGCTATGTT